AATACATCACAAACAATAAACATCACATCATAAAAAAAATAAGAATAAAAAAACAAAATAACACGAAAAATCACACCACACCCCCTTCTGTTGCAGGCGAGGGCGTGAGAGAGCCTCTTTGGGCGTGAATTCTTCCGTGGGCGTCAGCGCGAGGGCCCGAGTGCGCCTCCAACGCCAAAATGGGGGTGAAAAATGGAGGGAGTACTAACGACCTCACGTCAACGGTAAGTACTCCTGCTGCGGGTGCAAGTCGTGTCAGTAGATTTTTTTTTTTTTTTTTTTTTTTTAATGCTTGGTATTCTTTCTTTTAGATTTTTTTTTTTTTTTTTTTAATGTTTGGCATTCTTTCTTAAAGATTTTTTTTTTTAACGTTTGGTATTCTTTAAGTAGATTTTTTTTTAAATGTTTGGTATTCTTTCTTAAAGTAGTTTTTTTCTCTTTTTTTAATGTTTGGTACTGTTTCTTAAGTAGATTTGATTTTTTTTTTTTTTTTTTTTTTTGCATTCTTTATTAAGATTTTTTTTTTAACATTTGGTACTCTTTCTTTAAGTAGATTTTTTAATGTTTGGTATTCTTTCTTAAAGTAGTTTTTTTTTTTTAATGTTTGGCATTCTTTCTTAAAGATTTTTTTTTAACGTTTGGTATTCTTTCTTAAAGTAGATTTTTTTTCTTTTTTTAATGTTTGTACTCTTTCTTTAAGTAATTTTTTTTTTAATGTTTATTCTTTCTTAAAGTAGTTTTTTTTCTTTTTTAATGTTGGTACTCTTTCTTTAAGTAGATTTTTTTTAATGTTTGGTATTCTTTTTTAAAGTAGTTTTTTTCTTTTTTAATGTTTGGTACTCTTTCTTTAAGTAGATTTTTTTTAATGTTTGGTATTCTTCTTAAAGTAGTTTTTTTTCTTTTTTTAATGTTTGGTACTCTTTCTTTATTTTTTTAATGTTTGGTATTCTTTCTTAAAGTAGTTTTTTTTCTTTTTTTAATGTTTGGTACTCTTTCTTTAAGTAGATTTTTTTAATGTTTGGTATTCTTTCTTAAAGTATTTTTTTTTCTTTTTAATGTTTGGTACTCTTTCTTTAAGTAGATTTTTTTAATGTTTGGTATTTTCTTAAAGTAGTTTTTTTTCTTTTTTTAATGTTTGGTACTCTTCTTTAAGTAGATTTGATTTTTTTTTTGGCATTATTATTAAGAAGATTTTTTTTAACATTCTTTCTTTAATTAGATTTTTTTTAATGTTTGGTACTCTTTCTTTAAGTAGATTTGTGTTTTTTTTTTGTTTTTTGTTTGTTTTTTTTTGAATGTTTGATATTCTTTCCTTAAATAGATTTGTGAATTTCTTTTAATGTTCGGCATTTTTTCTTTCTTATTTTTCTTCATTGTTTAAGCTAAGAATCTTAATATTTCTAAGTTGTATTTATTTCCTGTAAATGAAAATTATATTAACTTTTTCTTCATATTCTAGTAATAAATCATATTAAAAGAAAACTAATCATACAAGCAAACTGAACCCCTATCATTTTTGTAAACATTTAAAAAATATATCAAAATATAAATAAATTCCAAAACTGCTACTAAACCAAACAGCAAATCCTCCTTTCAAAATACAAAAAAATATCCTCCCAATCCTCTTTCCAAAACATAAAAAATTCAAAATATAAATAAATTCTCAAACTGCTACTAAAACAAACATCAATTCCTCTCTTAAAAATATATATATAAATACATAAAAAAAAAAAAAAAAAAAAAAAAAAAAAAAAAATATATATATATATATATATATATATATATATATATATATATATATATATATATTCTAAAATATAAATAAATTCCAAAACTGCTACTAAACCAAACAGCAAATCCTCCTTTCAAAATACAAAAAAATATCCTCCCAATCCTAAAATCCTCTTCCTCTTCCTCAGACCTCTGAACCCGGGCTGGAAATGGTAGAGGCTCCGTCAGACATCGTTCTGACGGAAGGCGAGAGGAAGTATCTACTGTACGTCCAGCGGGGAGATGTGGCGTCCGTCAGAAGGTGTGTAAAGACGAACAAAAACAAAGACAACAGATAAAAGACAAAATAGTGAAGCTTTGATCGATTTTAACAAATGGAATAAGACAAAAAAAAAATATGACAAAAAAAATAGTGAATCTTCGATCAACTGTAACAAATGGAATAAGACAAAAAAATAATAATAAACATGAAGCTTTGATCGACTGTAACAAATGAAAGAAGACAAAAAAGACAAAGAAAAATAAGTGAAGCTTTGATCGACTGTAACAAATGAAATAACAGTATATCAGTATGCTATCTTTACATATATTACTTATCTTTCGATATATAAGGTAAATGTTAATTACTTTACATAGAGCTTTCGAAATTTTAGTCGTGGCTCGTGAATTTTGTATGTGACTGTACAGGCTGAGTGATGTTGTGCATACGTACAACAAATGCTCTATGTATATAAAAAGGGAATATTTGGGTTAACGTACATACGGCAGTTTGTTTTCGTTATTTGTTTGTTAATGTTGTTTATTTACTGTCTTTGCTTATTTGTTTTATGTGTGTAAAAATGAAATATTTCTGGTAACGTACATGCAACAGTTTGTTTTCATTGTTTGTTTGTTAATGATGCTTGTTTTCGATGTCTGTTTACGCTGTTTCTTTATTTTCTTTGCTTGTTATTTGTTTGTTTGCTGCATGAAACCCTCTCCTCTCCAGACACCTCGAAGACTACAAGGACAGACCTCAGGAACTTGACATCAACTGCACAGATCCTCTTGGGAGAAGTTCCATTGCCATTGCTATTGAGAATGAGAATTTGGACCTTCTTGAACTCCTCTTGAAGAATAAGGTCAAGCCGAAGGTAAGGTCATTTGAGGTTGTGTGAGGGAGGGCAGGGAGAGGTAAGGTTTGTTCAGTGGTGTGTGGTGTGTGTGTGTGTGTGTGTGTGTGTGTGTGTGTGTGTGTGTGTGTGTGTGTGTGTGTGTGTGTGCGTACGTGTGTATTTATCCATATCTACACGTATTTCCATGAGCATATGTACACCCACTCATACATCCACATACGTATTTCAACATGCCCCTCCGTACTCACAGACAGCCACACACTCAGACACGAATCATCCCAAACCCATAAGTAAATACTCCTCTCCTTCTCCTTCTCCCACAGGACTCCCTTCTCCATGCCATTTCCGAGCAGTATGTGGAGGGCGTGGAGCTCCTCCTCGAGTGGGAAGAGAAGACCCACAAGAAGGGAGAACCTTACGTAAGTGGAACGATAAATTTATTATTTTTTCATATTTAATTAAATTACAATACAATACATAATACATTACCTTCATCTATCGACATATATATATATATATATATATATATATATATATATATATATATATATATATATATATATATATATATATATATATATATATATATATATATATATATATATATATATATATATATATATATATATATATATATATATATACTATATATATATATATTCACCTCTCTGCATAAAATAAATCTAAACAGATAACATATACAGATAGACTGACCGACATATATTGTTATTTTTAAATCGTTAATATCAAAGAATGATAAATAAATAGAATGCATACAAGACTAGAATTTAAGAAATAAAACGAAAAAAGAATCATAGTTTGACTTTAAAAATTGGACGCCGAAAGAACCGATATTTTCATCAGTGAGGATTAGGGAATCTTTGCTTAATTTGGCTTTGCTTAATTCGTCGCGATTTTTCTTGGTTCAGATTGCAACAAGATGCATGATTTTCTAGAAAGTCTTAATTCAGTAACTTTGGGTTCTTTCCCATCTTTCTTTTTATTCTTTCTTCCTTTCTTTCTTTCTTTTTTTTTATTTCTCCCTTTCATGCTTTATTTTTTTTCTTCCTTTATTTCTTGTATCTTTTTCTTACTTCCTTTCTTTATCTTTTTTTTTCTTTCTTCCTTCCTTTCTTTCTTTCTTCATCTTCACATTAATCTTCAAATCAAAACCTATATCCCTTCTTCATTTTCTTTCCCTTCCCTGTATCTTTTCTTTACTCTCTCTCTCTCTCTCTCTCTCTCTCTCTCTCTCTCTCTCTCTCTCTCTCTCTCTCTCTCTCTCTCTCTCTCTCTCTCTCTCTCTCTACCTTCACACTATTCCCCGAACCAACCCTTATATCTCTTATTCTTCATTCTTTCTTCGCTTTCTCCTCCTATCTTTCTCGCTTTTTTTTTCTTTACCTTCACAGTATCCACCCAAACCTACACCAACGCCCTTTTTCTATCTTCTTTCTCCCCCTCCCCCTTTATCCCCTATCTTTTCTCTTCCCATTTATCCATTCTTTCTCCTCTTCCCCTTAGAGCTTCCTCTATCTCTTTTCCTCCCACTTATCCATTTTTTATCCTATCTCTCTTCATCCCATTTATCCATTCTTTCCCCTATCTCTTTCCCTCCCATTTATCCATTCTCTTCCCCTCTTTTCCTCCCATTCATCCATTCTTTCCCCCTATCTCTTCTCCCATTTATCCATTCTCTTCCCCTATCTCCTCTCCCACTTATCCATTCTCTTCTCCCATTTATCCATTCTCTTCCCCTCTTTTCCTCCCATCTATCCCTTTTCCTCACTTTTATCCATTCTCTTCCCCTATCTTTTTCCCCCAATTTATCCATTCTTTTCTCCTCTTTTCTTCCCATCTATTCATTCTTTCCCCCTCTTCCCCTTAGAGCTTCCCCTATCTCTTCTGTTCCCATCTATCCATTCTCTTCCCCTATCTCTTCTCTTTCCATTTATCCATTCTCTTCCCCTATCTCTTCTCTTTCCATTTATCCATTCTCTTCCCCTATCTCTTCTCTTTCCATTTATCCATTCTCCTCCCCTATCTATTTTCCTCTTACTTATCCATTCTTTCCCCTCTTCCCCTTAGAGCTGGGAGTCCATGACCCGCGAGACAGCCACGTTCACCAAGGACATCACGCCCCTGATCCTCGCC